GACTGTACTGACCGGGAAGATATTCTGATTGTTGTTCCAAGTCCCAAACCCAGGATTCGGTGAACTCTTTCCCTCATTCTTTTATTTTCATTCACTTTCTAATGTGGAATTAATTGATTCACTGAGATCATGTTAGTTCTATCCGCTAAAGCATAGTATTTTAAAAAAAGTGAGTGAGTGGGTCTGCTTCATAGTGACTATTCTCATTGTTAGCTTAGGGATTATCGTTGAAAACCACTCATATATGCAATGTTAGATTAATTAATTATTTTACGGTTTTAACTCCTATGCACGTGATTTAGCCTAAGATTGTTTTATCGCCTTATTATTTTATCTTAGCATTTAAATCGGCATAAGTTTATTTAAAATTGTTCTTGAAATGTTAAGCGTGTAAATTTCATTAAATAACTCATATTCGCATGTACGTTCTACATCATAAGGATTTATAAGCATGTTAATTAAACTACAGGAAAGCAATAAAAATTCTAAAATAGTATGTGCTTCCTGAATGATACTTATAAATATATTCAAACTAATTCCTTGAAGAGATAGTGAAGAAAATTTAAAGAGACGCATAGACATACAACATTTTTTAAGAAAATAAACCTAAATGGCTCAATTACTAATAATGATGAATTATGCACTCTAAATTTGATAAAACTAGAAGTATTAAATTATCAGTCTTTTAAAAGGTAATCATCATTCATAAATCTTTTGAAACATACGACATAACTTAAATCTTTTCATAAGTTACTTCTTAAAGAAAATGAAAACTAAAATTAAAACAAATATCAATTTTATTATTCATTATAAGGATAATTTTCATAGATAATTCACCAAGGTTGTGTTGTCAAATTGCTTAATTGATTCATTAACACTATAACAAGCATGAGTTGTTAAATTTCTCATGAAAGAACAAATTAAGTTTTTAATCGAAGTTTAGATTCAAATATGATCGCATACACAGTTTTAGATTTAGATTCAAACACTAACTCTTACTGGAGTATAATTTTGGCTTCATGAACATTGTCCAATGTAGATACAAATTCTAACTTTAAAAATTAGATGTAGATTCATGTTGTAATTATAATCTTCTTCAACATCTACTTTATCATAAAAAAATACTCATGAACTATAGCTTCTCCGATAGAATCAATTTCAATCATACAAAATTCTTTTGTTAGTCAAGTTACGGCACGCTTTAGAAATTATAATATTCTTTTTAGAGATGGTAATATTTTTTAGATATATTAGGCACAGGTAGAGTGGTCCTGAAGGAGCTCTTGCAATATTTCTCAACTTCTAAAGCTCTATGTAAGGCCTCATCTGCTATTTTTCAAGATTTGTAGAGTAGTATTTCTTAACTTTTGGTATAAAACCCTTAATGAAGCCGATAATGATAACAAAGTAATTCATAAGCTGATATTATTTTTCAATAAAATCTTTAAACTCAACAAAATAACCAAAGACATTATAGAATTTGTTTAAACCTCTTAAACTAATCACGTGTATGATCCCTACAGTCATTGAATGGCAAGTTTTATTCATTTAGTTTGCATATCAGCTCACATAAGTTTAGTAGCAATATTTCATCAAAAATTGAGCATGTCCTACAATTTTTATTTTAGCAAATTCAACTCTTAGGAAATCATAAATACTATAACACTCAAACTAATATTCCAAGTCATCGATTGAATTTGAAAATTCTTTGTGATTATAACTTCTATTAAATATAGGAATATAATACAAAAACTAAGATAGTTGTACTGTAGTTTTCTAGACCCTTAACTCACACAATTTCATTTAAATTACATCTTGCTAGTATTTTTTGATTGATCTAGTTATTATGCCCTACTTGCTGAGATATGATTATATAATCTTAAGCTCTAATACTAAATTTGATGCAAGACATTTAAGGGTTTAATGTTTGCTAATGCAACAATATGATATAATGCCCTAAATTGTACACAAAATCAAAATTAATAGTTCACAAACCATCAATTTAAACTAATACTTACATCTACATCTTTTGATAAAAACCAACATTTATATAAACGATAATTTAATGGTTCAAATAGAAATTTCACATAGAAATTTAGGACAAAAAAATCACGTTGCAATCATAAAATCTAGATTGTATGAAACTTGACCAAATATGCTAATGTAAGTAGACCAATAATTAAATATATAAATTAAGAAAAGAGCAATAAATAAAATTACCAAACTAGCAATACTATCCTAATACAGGTACACGGAGATAACTTCCTCAAAATTTTTTAGCCATTCATCATACCATATTAGAAAGAATTACATCCACACTCAAACACATAGAAGAAGCAAAATTAACTCAAACAAAGTATTATTGGAACTTGTTTTTCTACATGCCTCTAGCATCCCTATTTATAATCTTAAGACACCAAAAATAACAAAAAATAAAGAAAGAATCAGTAATCATATCATGAAAATCGCTGAAATCATTTGAAGCAAATTGCAACCAAGAAACAATGTCATAACAACCCATATATATAGTACATGTTTGAAAAGAATTGTTAATTCTACAAGTCATGCAAGGTACAAAACCGTAGAAAATACAAGGAAAACATAACCACAAATTTCAAACAAGGAAACCGCTAACAATAAAGCACACAAATAGCCACATGACACTAAGTGCTTAAAGAACCAATGTAGCAAGGTAAAGTCAAGGCCAGGCAGTCACAGCATATTAAGAAATCAAATAAAAATTTGGCCCCAAATAAAAAACCGAGCAAAGCAGCCTTAGAAGAAGAAAGTCAATCAAGCCAGCAAACAGAACCGAATCAAACAGAAGAATAGCTTAGATAATTAGCAAAAATAACCCACTATTTATAAGGATGGTCATAGGCATCATGAGAAAAATACTATACTACAAAAAAAACTAATAAAATATCATATAGAACAGAAAAACAATTCTCAAATTGTCAACGCACTCATGTCCGCATGTGTTTTTGCTCAGTATGAACTTTGAGTTTGCATTGACAGGTCCCATGGCCCATGAAACAAAACTTTAAGTGGAGATTTAACTCCATTTTAAGATTTAAACGACAAAACTAGAAATGTAACATGCCAATAGTAATGACAATGTGATAGATAAATGCACAGAGATATAGGATGAGCATATTTAACAGTGTCACAGTGGATAAAATATGACAAATCAAACATAAAAGGTGTCCTAGCACAGGAAATATAGTTGGATATCTGTAAGGAAATAGAGCTCGTGGGATGGAATGTGTGTGAGAGAGGGAGAGAGCGAGGAAGGGAGCATGCATGTGCATGCCACAGAGAGAGGGAGGGAGAGAGCTTGTAATGAAACCAAATTTCAAAAGTTAAAAATCAATTGTGAACTTGTTAGTGGAAAACGTAGAGTTATCGCCTTTTATACAACTTATTTAGTTAAGCACCATCAACATTTCATAAATAGACTTAACCTGACTATTTGGGTTCAGTTTTATGTATTCTAGTTTTGCATATATTTTGTTGAATATTAGATCAGATCTAAGCTCTATTTTTCACAAATATTTTTATGACGTAGCGAATGATCAATGAGAAACAGAAATGAAAGTCATAGATAAATAATCAAACAAGCATGGTGTGTGATGTAAGCAAAAAATTTGGGAAGGGACCCAAATTTTTGCTAGCAAAATAATACTCTTCCTAAGATAATAAAAAGATACTCAAATATTCAAAAAGACACAAATACGATAAACCACAACTTTATATAATAAAAAGACTTACAAACTTAGACACTTACAAACTTTCGAAAATAAAAAGACACCTTAGAACTCTTGACGCTTACAAACATAAACATAAACAAAGATTCCTAAAGTTGCATTTCTTTGAGACGAAAGATACTGATGGCGTTGATCTTGCGGAGAGAAGAAATAGGTTAGAAGCTCGAGAAGAAAGAGGAGAAGCTCGCAAGCTTTCCTAGAGGAGAAGGAGAATGGAACAAGCTCGCAAGCTTTTCCATGAAGAAACCAGCAGGTTCTATCCAAAAATTAGCCACATAACCATCCTTTTTATGCCTCAAAACATCTCCAATATATAGACATGAGAGGGGAGCTCAACAGACATAGCACCACCAAATAGGCTAATAGGATAAAGGGAAATGAAAGGCCAACAGTCACAAATAATTCCCAAACATTTCAGCAAAATAGAGAAGGAATCCACGGGAAACCAAGCAGGAAAAACCGCAGAACCGAACATCCCAACACGGAACCGAGGAGCCAACCGCAAAACCAAAGGGGCAAGGCACGGGAATTCTTCCCAGCGCAGAGAAATCAACAGCCATACTCGGAAACCTAAGGGACAGAGCACGGGATTCACCCAGCACAGGAAACCAAGGGACAAGCACGGGAAAAACAAAAGCCAAGAGGAAATTAAGAGGAAGAGAAAGAGCCATCTCCAAATAATAATGAGCTACTTTTTAGTTCAATAAATGAACTAAGAACAGCTCATAATGAGCTAACTTGTTGCTCAAAATATTAATGAACTAGAGAAGTCAAAACCAAATTTTAGGATTTAAATTGACCGCAGGAAAAACCGCAGAACCGAACAGCCCAGCACGGAACCGAGGAGCCAACCACAAAACCAAAGGGGCAAGGCACGGGAATTCTTCCCAACGCAGAGAAATCAACAGCCATACTCGGAAACCTAAGGGACAGAGCACGGGATTCACCCAGCACAGGAAACCAAGGGACAAGCACGGGAAAAACAAAAGCCAAGAGGAAATTAAGAGGAAGAGAAAGGGCCATCTCCAAATAATAATGAGCTACTTTTTAGTTCAATAAATGAACTAAGAACAGCTCATAATGAGCTAACTTTTTGCTCAAAATATTAATGAACTAGAGAAGTCAAAACCAAATTTTAGGATTTAAATTGACCCCCCCCCCCCCCCCCACCCTACGTAACTAATTTACCGCTTACATCAGTATCATAGTTAAACAACTATGAATAACCTTTCAAAAATGGCATAGCTGAGGAAATATAGTCAAGCATGTATGAGGACTTAAATTATCAATAAAAAGAGAGAACAGAAATGGATTGTGCATTGTAACACATTAAGTTTTACAAAGAGTACATAAAAGCCCTAATTATCTTTATCAATGTCCCAGAATTTTATTCTAATGATAATGCACCACTACCAGGGTAGTTTACACTTACCAACCAACACATAATATTGAATCCTAAATTGAGAAGATAAATATTAGCTACAATTGTCATTGGAAAATTCAAGGAATGTCCGCACAAAGATTAATTTTCAAGAACTGCTTTTCCCAAGGATAATAGAACTAAAATTGGATAAATCAGAGTTTGATGTTATTAAAAGCAATTTGCAGAGGACTTAAATTAATTCAAACAACAAAATGGGATGTATAACTTGTAGACCTTAACCATTTGACACAAACTGTATGATGTGAGAGAAAAGAAATACATACTTTGCAGCTCTTCGAGAATTCGTAATCGATGCCATGGCACCTCCACCCTCAGCCTCAGCTGCCTCCTCAGCCAGTTGCTGATCAAGGATTTCTTGCATTTCTATCACCCTGTAAATGTCCAAATATTTTAAAATGATAATTAAATGATGCAATAAAAAGGTGACAAGCAGCGACTAAAGCTTATAAACAGTCAAAGCATGCCCATGCTCCCCCAAATAATCTAGATAATACTTCCCAAAAAAAATACCTACAACAGTATCTAGTATGTCTACAATCTCAATTTTTCAAACAGATGGGGCCTTATTTGTACTTGCGTGAATCAGCGGGGAGGGGAGGTGGGGATTGAGGAGATAGTTGCAACATTGGAGAAAGTAAAACAGGGCATCAACATAAGCTCACTCAAACTGGATTTCGCATGATTCCTTTTGTGTCAAGTAGCACTTAGTTTTATCATCAACGTTAACATTGAGATTCTTTAGAAAGTCTAGGATGCAGAAATGATTTTATTCCACATTGCTCCTATGCTAGCTATCTGCTAGCAAGAGTTCCAGTAATACGTCATATTATATGGGGGGAGTCAAGATCCCCCAGTGTGGCATCCAACAAAAAATGACATTCTGCGATATACAAGGCAATTTTTTCGACCATAGAACCCACTAAAGGAACTATCCAGCTGATTTATGCTAGCATGCTAGCTTGGACATGCCAAGCACCTTCGATCAGAGAGCATTTCCATTTCACCAAGACGATTCAAAGGAATACAACATTCAGGTTAATAAAACCACAGTTATAACATAACCCAAGAAAATTATGTTGCCACTATTATTCTGGTTGGTACCTTGCATAGTTCGGTCATGGACAATTCAAAAATCAATTTGACAAGCTCGTCATCATTCTTGAATCTAAAATGGCAGTGATGAATCAGGTGGAATTTTTTTTTCATTTGTTATTAGTAAAACATGAATATATAAACATCTCCCTTGATAAGTGGTGAACAAGCTCCAGTATGAGGCAACTTAATGTGAATTTGACAGAACGGCAGTGTCTTACATTTCACGTTTATCTTGAATAATTAGCAAAAGGAAAAAAGCCCAAAACAGTCTCTTGACTATTCATATGTGGCTAATTTAATCAAAGGGTATCATATTTCTCCAATTTATTCTCTCGATGAAACAGAATTAAGCCGAACTAGTCCCTCACATGCTAGTTTGGAATCAATTCTACATAATTGAGGGACTAAATTGGGATTCATTTTATATTCGAATTTCAATGTATTGCTACTTGAGGCATCATTTGAGATCAATTTTGTATAACCAATCGGAGAAACATTGATACAAACATCCAACCGTCCATGCCTATCCGAGGAGGAGCTGAAGATCGACGGTCGTGATCGTCCTACGTCATCTTAAATTTTTATTCGTAATTTTTATTTTAATAATGCATTTTCTTTTTTTACCCTTGCTTAAGGGTCTAATTTTATGTAAGCCCTAGGGGCATGATCGTCTTATTTTAATTTCTTTTATTTATGAGGCTTATATATAGAGACCCTTGCTAGTGTAATGGAAGGATGGAGTTTTAATAAAAAAAAAAATTATTTTGCAATTTTATTCCTTGGGAGGACTTAGGTGAGATCCCTATGGAAGAGAATTGTAGTTTCCACCAGCAGCAGGATGGGTCTGGGCTCATGGCTTGAAGTCCTTTGGTGAATGACAACACATCACCTGTTAGCCGCAGGAAATGTCCGGGCTCACGATTTTATCTTTCTTTCCCTTAACTCATTTTCTTCTTCTCCTTTGGCCGCCGGCCTTACCCCCTCCACAGCCACCGGCCAAGCTTCCCTCTTCCCTCCTCCCACTTTCTAAGCCGAACACCACCACCCTTTCTTTCCCCCACCTCCAACCGTCGACCACTCCACCACAACCCACCGGCCAAGCGTTGTCCCCACCCAAATCACCGGCTACACTCTCCTCAAAACCCCCCATCGCCGATCATGTTTCCTCTAGACCCACCGCCGGCCCACCCTCCAAGTTCCCTTGATTCCAATTTCATTACACCATCATTACTTTCCTAAATTAGTTCCTATCTTATTTGGATAGTTTCCTAATTCAAATTCAAATGAATTTGAATTTTAAATTGTTTCCTAAATAACCTACATCTATTTTAGGAAATCCTTCAATCATATTAAATCTAAAATTATTTCAGATTTAACTCTCCAATCTCCCATTAATGTATGGGTCTACATACATTATATGTGGACACCTTTTCTTTTCCCTTCTCATTAGGTCGGCCCCTCTCTCTCCTATTTTAATTATTTCCTTCCTTCTTAAGGAATTAAATTAGGAGAATAATTAACTACCTATTTATCCTTCCCTCTTTCTCCCTCCATTCAATTAATTTCCTTCCCCTTATTGCTCCCCAATTAACTCCCATTCCAAGGTGTCGTACCTACCTAACCCTATTTCCCTCCAAAATCCCATCTCTTAATTTTGAATTTTAAATTTTGAAAGGTCTTTAATCTCTTTTCTAATTTAAAATTCTAATTAAAGAATCATTTAATTACCCTATTATCATCTTCCTAATTTAGTCCTATCTTATTTGGAAAGATTTCGTAATTCAAATTCAAATGAATTGAATTTTAAAATATTTTCTAAATATCCTACACCTATTTTAGGAAATTCCCCTTAATTAGTGCAAATCTGAATTAAATGATTGGATTTAAATTTAATTCCCCCTATTCAATGTATGTGGACACATACATCGAATGTGAACAATTCTCCCTCTCCCCTCTCTCTTTGGCCGGCCCCCATCCCTCCCTTCTCCAATAAATTAGGAAATTTTAAAATTCACATGACCCCCTCCATCGTTCTACATCAAAAATGATACTTTGGGACTAAATTGAACACTTAGAAATAGCCGCGGAACTATTTTGGGCTTTTTTCATAGGCCATGCGATTGATAAATGTCACCTGAAAAAAAGTTCAGGGCACCAAAATGTCAACCTAATTACAAGCATTACACCGGCTTTGATTTGATGAGCAAAATTTCTTGAAGGTGTCATGTTAACAGATTTCTTCAAACTGATTGTCTATAGAATGAGTTCTATCCATGGGAGAGATAGATTGTAAGGAATTATCCAGCAGGCAATCACAGGTAATACCAACATTTATTATTTCAAGTTCAGCAGCTGTAAATCATTGAACATAAGATATGACAGATTGTAAAGATACAGTCTCATGTTTTGGATTGCAAGCCTATTAAAAGTTACAAAAGTAAAACAGAACTCAATAACCAGAGAAACGGACCAATTAGCAACATCAGAAATAAAAATATTTCAACAGGAGGTAGCAAACAATTGAGTAACGGGAGTATGGGACATACCTCAGAGCTCGAACAAGTGTCTGTGGGCTGCAGCAGTTAAAGTTCAATAGTGAATAAGATTATTTTCTAGAGAAAAGTAAAGAAATTTGCAGAATCAGCTGGGCAAAACAGTATACAAATGGAAAAAAGCAGATTTAGCGAAAACAGGTTATCATAATTGCTGAATAAAACCAAAAGAAAGTATGACTCAATTATGTGTCAGGCCTTTGATTAGTAATCTAACTTGAAAGCATGCATTCCATGTGGCTACATTCATACAACCAATAAATATTATCAAATCACTTGATAACAACATATGCTACCAATCACACCCTAGACAATATAGCCAGGGCATCAGTCAAAGGAAGTAATCATTTTATACCAATTTAAACTTTATAGAACAACTCGCAAAAAATCTGTCTTATGTTTAAAAGTTAATTTTCCAAATAGCTTTTTTCTCTTCGTATTTTGTATTTTAAATATCTTTGCTTGCGAGATGTAAATACTCATGTTCTCCAGTGTGCATATTCAGAAACCCTGGCATTCTTATTAAAATTTCACTCCAAAAATACCTAACTTCTGGATCATAAAACCACCAAACTTATGTCATACTAAACCTTTTCAAATTATAATATCGCAGTTATTTAACAACTGTGCTTCATTTCCGTCAAATAATGCCAAATGTTAAGATGTTTAAACTTTCAATTGCAGATAAAAAATTTGTCCTGCTCTTCTTGATGTTTAAAAAAAATAATAAGAGAAAGAAACCAATCAACCATCACATGTAGATAGATCATTTTTGCATGGAAATAAAAAAAAAAAAACTGAAGAAAATAACTTCCGTCTCAGACCATTGAAACTTCACACACGTTTATGGTCTAGAGAGAGATGCATGTCTTGAGACTAAAATAACACAAGCTTGAGTCATGAGAAATAGAAGGTTTTAGAGATGAAAGGAAGGGATGATATGGAAGGGATTTGATTCTTAGTTTTAGAGATGAAAGGAATTTGATTCTTAGTTTTAGAGATGGAAGAGGATTTTTTTGTGTTCAAGTAATAAGACAACCAAAAGCTTTCACTAAGATTTGAAGGTCAACAAAATTCAACCTCATTTCTAATATCAATCCTAAGTCTGATGACAAATTAATTGGCCAATTGTCAATCATTGTCAGCCCAATCAATTCTAGATAGTAAGTGTTCAAATGTGTTTAAATATTTAGTAATAGAAAGGCTACCCTATCTTAAAGTAGTTGTGATGGGGACATCAGCAGCGATTTCGACACATGTACCTTCAGGAGATGCCGGAGATCGATGACCACGATCATGATCTGTATTTTCATCAGTAGTTTATTTTTATTTTATGTTTTTCCGTTTTTTGCCCTCATGGGTATTTGGTTGCTATTGTAGCCCAAGGGGCATTTTAGTCTTTTGCTTCTTTGTCATTTTGAGGCCTATTTATAAGGCCCTTTTCTCATGTAATAGTTAGTTTTTTATGAATGAAAATTTGACTTTTCTTGTTCTCTTTGTGAGTGCAAACCTCCACGATCTCTTGGTGAGTTCGTAGGAGAAGCTAGATCTCTTTGTGAGTTCTAGATCTCTTGTTCTACTTTTATTTTTCCTTTCAATCTCTTGCTCACATCGCCGTCACGACGATTTGGATTGAAGCCACTAGTTGGAGATTGGATCTTCAGGTTTTGGATCCCGAGAGTTTCCCCACACTCTCCCCTCCCCTACTCTTACCGCTGCCCCCCCCCCCTCTCCGGATTGCCCAGCCACCGACCGGCCCGTCTCCACCTGCCGACTCCCTGTGCCAAAGCCTCCCGCCGGCCTATTCCCCTCACCGCCCCAGCCGCTGGAATTTCCTCCTACAGGTCGCCGGCTTCAAGCCACTGATTCTCTTGCTTGGCTGCTGATTTCCCATCCCTCACCCCTTCAATTTCCATTAATTCCCCCATTATAACCTTCCTAATTTTGCTCCAAACGTTTTGGTCAGATTTTTTTGAATTTCAAATCCTAATGAATTGGAATTGAAGAGCTTGCCTTTTCTTTTAAACTGTGAATTAAAAAAGGCTCTCTATATTAATGCAAATCTGATGATTTAATCAGATTTTAATTAACTAGCCATTAATCAGCCGGGCCCACTACAAACCACTCAAATACTCCTCTCTCTCTCCCGTATTAACCCCTTGTAACTTCCCTTATTTTTTTCCCTTTGAGACTAATTTCAGGTTTGAAATTTCAAAACTGAAATTAAATCTTCCCAATTGAAAAATCTGAATTACAAATCAGATTTCTTTTTGATTACTTCCCCCCCCCCACTCAACCCTTAGCCGTTACAAACCTGGCGGCTCCCTTCCCAAGTCTCCCACTCACGGTTTTCCTCCCTCCCCCCCTAAAATCTGCTGTATGCTCACGCATTCCAGCAAGGGTAGCCTGCTGTCCTGCACCATTGGAGACCTAGAATTGCTGTCCAAACACTTCCAGCACCCTATAGCAGCTGTCCAACGTTTGTACAGGCATTATATGTTGCCGTCCATAACCCCTTAAAGGCCAAACTGCTGTCCAGACCTCTCATGTCTGCTGCTTCGCATTTCAAGCATCTGAAACCTGCTGTTTAGGAGATTTGGAACATGTTTTCTTGCTGTTCAGCCTGCTAGAAGGTCTTCAAACACTGTCCGGACATTCCAGGCCGCCGAATACACCTTCAAGAAATCGCTGTCAAGAATTTCATACTCCGGCCACCTATCCAAGAACGACGATCCAATGTTCCTTCTTCCTCGGAGCGAGACCTCGATTCTAAGGTGGAGACTCTTCTTCCGCTAAAACCTAGACTAGTTGAGCGTATGGGCTCCAAAGGTGAAAGTTCTTATTATTAAATTACGGATTCTTGTTTACCGTCGTAGTGTTACAATTGATCTTTGTGTTTTCTGAAATTGTTTGGTTAACCGACCTCGCTCTTCTTTGCCTAAGCAAGTTAAAACTAAGAATTCTAAGGATCAAACCAATGTTATAAGCAATAAATTTACTTTGGATTATTTTGTTAAAATTGCTCTCTTTAATTTCTTAAAGTAACTCCATCGCATGTTTTGTTTCACATCAAGTTGGCCACGCAGTTTCTTATCATGGTGCATAGAAAAATACTTTTTCTCTTAACATTTTCTTCATTTTTATCCAAGTGAGAGTGGTTCTTCATAGTTTCATTTCTTAGTATATCCTATCAACTTCATTTTAGCAAAAACAATTCTTTGATTGCCATCAATTTCATACCAGTCAGAGAATTCATCAATTTGAACTAACCAATCTAAAAATTTATTTGGGTCATGTATGCTATCATAAGTTGTTACTTCAACTTTAAATCTTCGAAATGAATCACTAAAGTCTTCAATATTCATAAAATGATTCTCTTCTCTTCCTCTATTTTTATAATTGGTGCTCTCGTAAGTATTTGATTTTTCTTGGAGTTTGGATATGAATCTTCTTTTTCTATTACATTGGGTGAAGTTGGAATTATTCTGTAGATAAGTCATGAGAGCTTACATTTATTCTCTAAGTTCCTGCATTTGGTTCTTATTATTTTCTTAAATTTTCTGAGACTTTAAATCATCTTCATGGATCTTAAGCTCTAAGTGAACTATCCTGATCAAATTTACAATTTGGTCATGAGAAACTGATTTGGGATATTTTAAAGAGAGAGAGAGAGAGAGATAGAGAGAGAGAGAGAGAGAGAGAGAAAGAGTGTGGGAAAAAGATAATATACATGTATAATCAAAGTGAAATTTCAAGCTAAGAAACTTCAAGGTGAGTTCACAAGATGGAGTAATGTCTAAGCTATTTGGTAGAGCTCACTTATTGGAAAATTATACTACCACCATAGGCTTGCAAGCAATATACTTCATTTTCATACTAATATAATAAAATTTAGACTATCATAAAAAGAAATTAATTTACCTCAAAAGTTATCGAATAACTCACAAGTTTGAAAACAATTCAAAAACAAAAAAGCTCCTTTTGTTTAGAAAAAAATTCAAACCAAATATATCCTTCCAGGCTCTACTCTGATGTCAAATATGATGAATATGGAAGGTCTTTTGGTGAGATTATTTAATGAAAATGCTTATGCATATCTACTTTATTATTTTAAAAAGTGATCTCGAGTTTTGGTGGAAAGATAAGAAGTTTGAGGGGTATGGTCAAAAGAATGCTAAGACTAATCTTGTTTGAGCAGATTAAAACTGATTTGCAAGTTCACTTTATGGAATAGTTTATGAATGGGATAAATGACAAAAGATTATGGTGGAGAATAAGATTAGGATGTAAACATAAAATATGGAATAAGTGGTGGAGTTTGCTGAGGTTAAATGACTTGTAGTGATATAGAGAACAAGACTAGGTGCAAGAGTTTTAAAGAAGGTTGGGTTGACTTTTTTAGAGTCTTCAATAATGGATAGCAAGTCTTGCAAGATGGATAGAGCATAAAGGAAGATGTTAAAGAGATTTAAATTTTAATTTAAAGAAAGTAAAGAACAAAAGATAACTAATAAATCCCACCAAAATTGTGTTTGAGTAGACCACCAAGTACTAAATAAAAGAAAATAACTTCCAACAAAATTTCCTTATCATTCAAAAGCTGAAATTTATCATTACATACCAGCACTATTTATATAGTTACAATGATTATCATAATTCAAAAATTAGAGAAAATTTTAGGAAGGAAAGAGAGTAAGTGGTCATTAATGGATGAAAGTGTCAACCACATTCATTAATTTATCTTATCTCTATTAAATGACTAATTCATATTAGTTCCCTACGAAAAGTCAAACCTTCTATATACAAAATTTAAATTTTAAATATTAAAACTCTAACTTGATTATTTCTTCGTAAGTTCTTGTAATGAAGCTATATTGGGATCTTGCTTTAGCACATTCTTGGGCTCTTCTAATTAGATCATTAGAATTCATTATTTTGTTACAATTGATATGATACATCACTTTTAAACCACAACAACAACAACAACAACATCAAGCCTTTATCCCACTACGTGGGGTCGGCTACATGAATCCTTTTTCTCCATTGTGTTCTATTAAAAGTCAAATTCTCGTTTAATCCAGGACTTGGGACCTGGCAACGGCAAAACTTTCCTACAAAAACCAACATTGAAATTTTAGTAAGATTGAACCGAATAGACCAACCTAAGTTCATGGAGTATCCATCAGCAAATATTACAATTATTTGAAATAATGGCGACAAAAATAGGATGAGAATAGGTAATTAAAAAAAAAGGTTGCAAGAACATAACTACAATACAAATCAGTATGATCGCATTACCTCTCCTTCCCAAGCCTATAGAAGTTTGAAATGTGCCCCCATAGTGTCTTCTCAAAAGTCTCCCATGTTTGATCAACATCTTCAAAGTATTCTCTGTAGAATGTTAAAATAACCAATATGTTAAGCATTAGAAAATAATATATTACAAAGAAAATAATGTTTCAAGTGACTTCATATCAGAATTTTTTATCTACAAAATAGCTCGGTAGCTAGTGCTTCGTTCTGCTTCTTGGCAATTGTAAAGCTTTAATCAAAATTTTTAAGCCAATAAAACTAGTAAGCCATACAATCTACAGAACTCTTGGTGATTACCAATTATTAAGTAATCGTAGATTTCCAGATTTGCATGTCAAAGGGTGAATTTCAATGAGCGTGACTTGTAATGATGGAATACTCTGACCTTAGCCTGCCAACCTCTTCCTTGTGAGATCCTGCAGCTGCTAATGCAAACCGCCTCTTACCATCAAGTGCTGTTAGCCTCTAATTCATCATAAAAAAACAATACCATATTTATAATACACAGACATAAAAAACAACTTTTAAAAAATAAAGAATGGGCGTGTAAACTAATTCTAAGGTTTATCATAATACAATGAAAGAAAAAAGTTATACTTCATATGTGTGAATAAGCTCTCTATCATCATGTAGGGAATCACGAGCAGCAGCAGCTTCAACAGAAATTGACATCATTCCGCCCACATCCTAGAAGAATCAAGTTATCAGCACAATAATCACAGAATAAAAAGTCACGAAAGCTCCGCATATAACATGATAAAATACTGGAAGAATGCATAGCCGTAGGAACAAGGGCCAACGATGTCCATAATTTCTAAAGTATATTTTTTCCAGAACAGCAAGTGTCAAATGTTGAGAATATAATGAAATAAATAGTATGCTAAGCAGCAAGAACATGCATCACAAATGTGGAGACACTGATTTAGAATGATGAAACAAGCCAACATGCAGCAACCTTTAGCGTGGTATTCAAGTTGTTTCTTGCATTGCTAAGAAGCTTTATTTTATCGTGGTTTTCAATGAGTGTTTGACATTCCTGGCACAACCTGTGGAAAAATTATGCCCAGATTCAAAGAAACTATAAGCAGACAGGCTAGAAAAATGAGAAACGGAAAAAACACCATTTCTTGATAACATAAGCACAGTGAAAGCCAAATAACAATCTACTGAAATCATACTTATCGATGCCCAAAAAGTTTTCTCGTAGCTGGTTTATCGTCTTTTGGGATAAAGCAAGAGCATCGATACCAGCATGAGCTTGCTCAACCTGTAGAAAAAGTTTTTCTATATCAAACGCTTCACTGTGAATCAGATCTAAAGAAATAAAAGGAGACAGCAACCGGCATCACTAATACAATTTTATGTCATTGTAAAGAATAAAAGAAAGTTATTCATCAGTCATAAAGCATTTATAAGTGATAAGAAAACAAAAGAAAATTTAGAGAGAAACAAAAGTTGAACTTACTTGTTCAGCAACCATTGTGCTAAGTTGTGCGTCATTTGCCTGAGAAAAGAAAACAAGAGAACAGTGAGGGAAGTAACCAAGACCTACTTGTTCCTAATGACAGCCAAAGATATATGAGATGTAGTGATGCAAATGTATTCCAAGATTATTGATGACGACTTAGTCTATGACATTAAGATAAAAATTCACAGCACTAATCAAGCTACAACTTCGTTTACCAAATACTCTAAGAAAATACAAATATATGGCACAAACTCAATTAGTACCAATATATCAAAAAAAATATGCAATGTTAAAGATGTAATGGTACAATGTTTTGTAGAAGTAGAAAGAATTTATGAATTCTTAGCTTGACTAGATACTAACTATGACCAAGAACAATCAAATACTTGGAAAAGAGTGTTGTTTCACGCGCATTATGAAGAAGAATGCCATTTCACACACAGTATTTATATCAAACTAGTTCCAAATGGGTAAACTACATGCACGGCCATGTGTCAGCGCAACCATCCAAACATTTTTACCTCCAAATCCTCCACAAGACAGAAAACAGAGCTATTAAATGTTAAACAAGATGACTCCATATGAAATGCGATGGCAACACTTTTTGTGTGTGTGTGTGTGTGGTTTGCTCGGTGATTATAACGGAAACTCAAATTATTCTATACTGATGAGATTCCTATCCACATACCAATTCCACTCCCCTCGTTTCGTCCGCAGCATCTCTCCTCTAAAAGTTCTAAAAATAAACCTGAGATCAATGTACAAGAATTCACCAATTCTAACTTAAGGGAATTCTGCTTCATTTGGGTAACAAAGTGAAGATATATATATATATATATGGATAATTTTTTTTAAGGCATTGTCTGGACGCTGATGATTTGAGTAGAACGAATTGCAAAATGGATAACGATTCTTATCAATCCACTAATCATTTGAATATTCATTCATTTCCCTTACTTTCCTTATCGAACCTTAAGTTTAAGTAATACTCTCTTACCTAAGCACGGGGCCTATAAGAAAGGAGACCAAACCTGTTGCCTAGAACTGTAGTCGGCTTTGATGGAGACTATAGAAGCGAGCAACTCAGGAAGCGGGAGCAACTTCGCGACCTCGCGGACAGCGGCGTCCTTAGCTTCTATTCCGAGATCCTCCATGATCTCTGTATCTCCTACTCTGATTCCCGTGCAAATATCCGGCGATCCCACCCGCTCGGCCTCGACGCTGGGACACCAAGACGAGGAAAACCGATCCCTTCTCAGTCGTCACCCGGTGTGAAATCGAAGAGTCCTGAGAGGCCGGTCCGTTCATCAAGAGCCCACGTTGAACCGAACAAGTCCAATCTAAATATAAATAAGAATGCTTATTGGTAAATAAATTCAAATAAATCTTACTTATTATTTGAGTCGGTTGTTAGATTTTAATTCGATTATTAATCATTATTTTAATTTTGTTTTCTTTAACTATTGATTGCTTTATGTAAATAATCAAATTATATTATTTTAAATTTTATATTATACATTTTAATCTACTAATTAAATATTAATTTGTTGAGCAATGTGGCATTAGATTATGCTTCGTTTGTAACACCTTCTTTATTGCTTTCTAAAATAATTTTTTAATACAAAAATTTTGAGTTCAAAATTTTTTATATTAAAAAAATTGTTTTAGAAAGTAGAAAAAAAATTATCCCAAACTAAACCTACGTTGCTATGATGGTTGTGGTCAAATTTGAAAAAATATTAATTTATTATGAGATGAAAAAAAACTAATTTTAATCAGCACTTAATTTATAAAATAGTTTTAATTCTAATTCATCCATAATTGATACTCGTAAAACAATCCATCTCATCATTACACATGAATCTAGACACAAGATTTGAATTGAAATTTTTTAGAATTAATTTAAGGATCATCCAAACTTGATTCGAAAAATTTATATTTGAATTAAATATTTTGATAAGATAAGCCTAATGATATTAAAAATGTTCTAATCATGGTCCAAATACAAATTATTTAATTGAATATTTGAGATTTTAGCAAAAATTATTAAAATAGCACTCCAAAAAATTATAAATAGATATATTTTCTTCACATGAAATGGACATGAAGTTGAAAGGAGTTAGGAATGTCATGAATTCGAAAGTTCTATCTAAGACTAACGATAAACACCGACAATCACCACTAACACTTTATGTTGTCTAATCATCGTCATCTGATTGTCATCACTCAATCGTCATCTGCAATCTACCATAGTATGATTACTATTGTCTAATTGTTGTCGCCAAATGAACCTTTTATGATTGCAATCATTTTTCAACAATGCCACCATTTACCTATTGACTACATTCTTTTGACCAATCTCATCACCATTCAGTGTTTCTCTAATACTTTTCACTATATTCATAGATTCTGAAACCATTATGTCCTACTCTGTAATCTTGTCCTTTCAATTTAAGAGAAAAGAAAGCTGATGTAATAATTGTATATGCAGTTGATTATTACAAGTGGGTCGGATCTCTTGATTTTGTTCCCTTCATGGGTTTTTCACATAGTGTTTATTGTAAACTTCTTTAATATGTGTACGCCTGAATCTTTGTGCAACACCATACAAATTTATAATTCTATCACCATAAATATTCAAGCACGCAACTAAAATGGCTTTAATTTTTGAGCTTTTAGAACCAAACATGATTAATTCAATTAATCTATAATTGATTGAACCCAAATTCAATTTTAGCATAGAGGGTATGAATAAGAGCACTCTAACGGACAATTCATTAGACCTTTCTAGTTACTAGTGTACCAATAAGGTGCCTACTAGCTTTCATATATATACACAATCCGATCAAAAAGTTGAATTTCTACTTAAGCAACATCGGCTATCTTTGAAATTTTTTGTTGGAGTGGGCTAATAAGTTCCATACAACATTTTTTTGTGTATTAATTGCTTAAAGGAGAATATTTTTTTCATTATTATTATAAACCCAAGCTATATTTTATGATTTGACACTCAATATTTTAGAAAATAAATAAATTTAGAAACATATAATCATATCTTACATATGGGTCCAATCTGAGATAAGACGCTCATATCCAACAAATTGTGATATGAAAAATAGTCTATAGGGCAAACAAGTCATGATGAACTCGTTTGACTCACCAATCAGGAGATGGGTATGAGCTTGCTCATTGCACCATCTCGTTAAGGAACCAATTAAGTATATGTCCATACCAAAGGCTTTTTTTCAAAATTCTGTCATACCACGTTAACAACCTTTAAACTTGTAATTTCCTCCAAATTGATAAGACAACTGCTCCCGCTTAAAAAGATGGTACCACAACTCTATAAGAGCCTAGACTACTAGTGACTGATCAAGCCAAATTTCATGTCATAAATTCAAAGTATGCTGCAAATGGGCTGCATGCTTCCTAAAATGTAAGGAATCATTAAAGATTTAGCTTGTAATGTCTAATCCATAATATATATATATATAATAGAACAATAAGGACGTCTTATGCACCTTCAACAAAAGGAATACCAAAACCATTCCTCTCTCTCTCTCACACACACACACAAAAGGTCATGCAAGTAGGCATCATGAAAAGTGTAGTGAGCGTGGAATGATGCCACAAGTTAGAAACCAAGCATATTGAGAAAAGAGAAGCTTATTCTAGGATATTTAGCCAATATGGAGGAGATACTTGTGAAATTGATTCAAAGGGACCTAAAGGAAACCCCATCACCCACCCAATCTAACGTGCTTTAGGGATCATCAACTCCATTGTCCAAAGGAGCCCACCAAACAAAAATTTGCTACATTCTAATCAGACAAAGATGAATAATCAACATCATTTTAATGGGCTGAGAAGAGAAAACTATAACTAACCAATGAGAAATGTGTTCTCTAAAGAGATCGTTGAAGTAACTCTCCTAGAGAAATTTTAAGATCCCACACCTCAAATCATACAAAAAGTTGACATATCCTATATATTATGTGTAACACCTACCAAATTAGGGTACAATTACACATGTTTTGACATGTTCTAGTAAAGGTACTCTATTGAACTTTTGTGTTGAATATCCCTTGCATATGTTTGTGAGTTTGTTGTATGAATGCAAGTGTTCTAAAGCGAATCTCAGAGGTCTATGTGTATGATTTAAAATTTTGAAATGTTTTCCTTGAGGCGCCATAGCTCGGGGATTAGCGACACTGCAACAATGAGCTAGCTCTCTGTCTTTTTGTCTAAATAATTCAAAGTTATAATGTAGTGACATCGTGCCCTCCAGTAGGGAGCATTGCGATGCTGTAAGGTTGAGCGTCCCGATAACGGGCTTAAATTTTATAAAAATATCTATCTCCATCAATATATTTTTATCAAGCTATTTTCTCCCCATAAAGCAGCTAGCGACAGAGAGATATGAGGATTTTTAGTGAAATAAAGCTATGATATGGGCGACTCCAATATATTTTCTATTATCGGCCTAGTTTTGAAAGTTATGTAGATCGATATATATTACGTTCTGCCTACCTCAATTTTTTAAAATACAAAATTTTGAAATTTTCCACATTACATTCATAATTTCAAAATGTAAAAATGAAAATAACTTTAAAACCGCTAAAATTTCACCATATAATTTTATGTATGTTATAGAAACAGTCATTACATATGTTTTGGTATAATTCTGAAAAAATTTCATCGAGTAGTTTGAAAAGTGCACTATTTTATTTAATTAAAAAAACAATTTTTCCATCAGAAAATAATGTTGTAGTACAATTTAAATTTTAAAATAATATTCTGAATAATAACTAATAATCTGGTAAAATTCTAAAACTATTAGATTATGCTCAGCATCAAAATATGTTAACTATTGGTAAAATATTATGTGAATTTCTAAAATTATTTCATTTATATTTCTTTTACTGCAATGAAATGAGATATATATATATATGCTTACATATTTATGTGTCGGATTATGTGAAGTTCTAATATTGGAGGAAGTTCCTGTGCTAAATGCATAGGGAGTCATAGGGCTTAATTTTTTAATATATGGTAGGTGCTAAGCATTACGAGTCATGAGGATCTATTTTTTCGATATGATAGAACAGAGAGTCACAAGGGAGTGAATTCTAATAAATATTTTTTATGGGAGGTGTAACATGAGCAAAATCTGTTACATTACTTTTTATTCTAATATAAATAGTTCTTATTTATTTACTTTTAGAGCACAATTAATTTTCTTTTAGTTATCTACATTTATTATTATCCTTAGTGAGATAAAAAACTCTTATGAACTATCTTTATATTTAATAAAATGCACAATAAATTAATTATTAAAAATTTAGATCGATGGATGTGATCTACTGAGCTATGTTGGTTGACACTTATTCTACATTCTATTTTAGGTATGAGGAAAGGGAAAGAGTTGGTTGAGCAGCTGAATATTTAGAATTTGATTTGTCTACTATCTGCCTAATTTTTGTACAATCTTGGCAAATTACTTATTTGTTTTATTCTAGTTTGTAGTCATGCACTATAATGTATAAATTATCTTGATCGGCCACGAATATTGAGGGAGAATCAAGTTGAAAACTTCAAAAATTAAATTGGGGACCATCTCAACTTCGATTTCAGCAAATTTATAGTCGAACTGAACTTCTTGAAAATACAAATTTTTATCCACCCGCTTTCATAATCACATCTTTTGCCAAAGTCATTACTTTCTTTGAGCATGATATATTTCCTTCACAATCTTCCTTTAAAACACCTGCTTTCAAATAATCTATCACAATTCTTGGTCTTGTCTATCACATTCATTCTTTGACATCATTTAATTGTCGGTCTCTCTTCTTTTGCTTCCCAATGCATGCTCGAAGCTTTCTATGCATGAAATTATATTTGTCATATCATGCTTGTAAACATCCTTTGGACCATTCCAACCATTTGTCTTTTTCAACGTGACTACTAACTAGCTCAGGGGCCACATTTGGTTTGCTGGAAAAAAAAAAGTTTAGGTAGAAATAATATATTGAAAATAATAACGTATATGGGATGTATTACATTATGTTTGGTTAAATGTAAAATAAACGTAAGAGTTTTGTTTGACTTGAAATAAAATGAATTTTGTGTGCGGTTTTTTATTGTGTTTGATGGTGGAAGGTAGTAGGTGGCAGCTATGGGTGTCTGTAGATTGGTGTGATGCTTTATATTTAAAATTCACCCAAATCATTTAAATTTTAAATATATTGAAAATAAATTGAGT